CCACTTGGGCAATTTCTCTGTATTCCTCCCATGTAACCTGTCCTTCCTTCCACCCTCTATAGGCTTCTTTTTTGATCCCAAGTTTGTTCAGGGTATTCCTGTCCATTATAGGCTTCTTTTTTGATCCCAAGTTTGTTCAGGATCTTCCTGTCCATCCATGCAGGCCTCCTGGTGTTTTTGCCTGCCTTCCTCTTTGTTGGGATGCATCGTTCCTGGGCTTGAAGGAGATCTTTGAGTATAAGCCAGCTGTCCTGCACCCCTCTTCCTTCCAGGAATTTATCCCACGGTACCTGACCAAGCAGATCCCTGAAACGGTTAAAATCTGCTCTCCTGAAATCCAGGGTGCTGAGCTTACAGTGAACCTTCTTCACTGCCCTAAGGATCTCAAATTCCACCATTTCATGGTTGCTGCAGCCAAGACTGCCCGAGAGCTTCACATTCCCCACCAACCCCTCCTTGTTGGCGAGAACAAGGTCCAGCATGGCACCCCTCCTCATCGGTTCTTCGACCACCTGGAGAAGGAAATTGTCCTCCACACATTCCAGGAACCGCCTGGATTTCTTGTGGCCTGCCGTGTTGTCCCTCCAACAGAAAAGTGCTAGAAGCAGAAGAAGAGATGCAATTGATGTATCTGAGTTACAGTGAAAAAAGGAGAAATATAAAAAGCTTCACTGAGTGTGCAAGAGCAAGACATTTTAGGCTGGTTTATGTCATCATAAATCTCTCTCACAGAACACTAGCTTTTATTATAAAAGACCAGCTTAGCCACCAAGTAAAATGAGCACCCAAGAACACTTAGAGACTCAGAGCAGTTTTACATCTAATTACATGGATTTGAGCCTCCAGTTATCAAATCTTTTATCTGTATCCCAAGCATACTAAATACACAGCAATATATAGCAGGCAGCATAAATCATTTAGTTGAACTTCTCTCCCTCAAAATAGCACACAATATATTCTGATATTGAAGCAAAAAAATGCTGCCAACACATATGGCATATTTGCTACTAACAAAGTAAGCATTTAAGAAAGGCATTCCAGCAGCCAGGAGTTATTTGCCAAGAATTCAGTGGGGTTTTTTATATAAAAGTTTTTATTTTTACATAGGAAGCCAAGACACAAGGGATGCAAGAGTTTGTAAAGATTTCAGGAGGCTGCAAAATATGTCCATGTGAAAACCATTCCCAGAAGCCAGCATTCAAAACAAGATGAAGACTGAAAACACCTTCTTTGAGGCAGATCACATTCTGATATTAACATTAGCATGACAGGTTTCTACAGAAAAAGCTGTTACAGGGACTTCAGTTCCTTCTTCCACCGAATTGTCAGTGGAAGAGCTTAAATATAAGGGGGAGCAAGATTCTCCTGTTTTCCAGGTACTGACTAATCAAGATGTGTAACAACTTTTCCCTTCACTGGAGTCTCATCCGTTTTTCAGGTGGTCCTTTAGTGCCAGCACTCTGCTGAGCATTCTTTACAGTTTCTTTTTCCTCTGTCTTGACAGTTTCAGGGGCTGGTTCTGGTTCCTTCTTGATTTGATCCACTTAAGAAGTAACAGCAAAAGAAAGTTAAACCTCCAATTTTTATTCCTAAAATACTGTTCAGAGTACTTAGAAAACACTGTTGATGTCAAAGGGGCAAAATTAATTTTAAAAAAGTATAAGAATAACTAAGGACTAAATTCATACCTATACAGGTAAAAAAAATGAATAGATTGAATAGATATAGTTCACGCTTTTCCTTTTTTAGGGTTGCTTACAATCAACTCAAAGCCTTCACGTGCTTTCTTGAGCTTGTAGCACCATGTAAAATCACCAAGATGCTGCACTGACTAAACTGTTCCCTCATTCACCCTTTTACCTTCCTCCTGCTTTCAAAAACCATTTCCTGCATTTGGACCTTCAGGCAATACAGCTTTATGGACAGAAAGGGCAGGAGTAGAATACATATTTTTTCAATTTCACTCTGGCTGTCACAGAAAACTCTTACCTAGTACTTTGCATAATTAGGCAATGCCAGAATTCCTAACCACCTCAGTAGCAGCAGCAAGGAACTCAGACAGCAACTGGAAGACACTGTTACATAGAGCCTATTTTTTAAGTCTTGTGAGAATACTAGATTTTTACCTGGGATAGGCTTTTCTCCAGGCTTTTGCTGTGAGGAAGAAAAAAAAAAAAAAATAAACCACCACATCAGTGGAATCAAACACCTAATTCTTAACCCTTCCTACTATTCACTTAGGAATATAAACCAATCAATGTGCTCTTAATATACAAGAGATAAAGGTAGAAGGGATCACTAAATACACTTTAAACAAAATCCAAATACATTTTACAACATCCAGTTTTTCCTCTGACAACAGAAAAGCACTAAAGCAAAAAAATACGCAGTTAGACAGTTTCCCACATCTGAGGGATAAAGTTTTGTGAGATGCTGTAAACAATTTCCTTTGCTCCAAGCAGACCACCTGGTGGAACAAACTCCACAGAATGCCAAGAATTTCCACGCTAATTAATAAGCCTCCAGAACAATGAAGTAACTAAAACAAAATAGCTGTGGTGACTTGATTGAGCTCACAGAGCAGGAAACTGGAAGCAGCAGCAAAATCTGATAGTTGACAAGAACAGACCCTCTGTGATTAGGTATGAATTTTGTAAAATAAAATTGGTCCTCATAGCTTTGCCAAGGTTTTAATGGCTCCTGCAGTTATAAAGGGGAAACCTGAGCTGCAATCAGAGCCTTCCATTTCAAATTTATTATCTAATCCACATTACCACTGCAGAAAGCACATAAAATTCCCATTCAGTTTCAGCTGTTAAAGTACTTACGACTGCTTTAAGTTCTAAGTAAGTTACAGTAATACTATGGCTTGTAAGCAACATACCTGAACAAATCTGGGTGGAAACTTTTGTCTCAGGTCTAAAAGCAAAGCATCTACCCGTTGCCTTTGGAAAATAGAACTTGGTTCTTCTTTCTTCTTGGTTTTTGGTTTAGCTTTCTCTGCAAGTCACAGAAAGGTAAGAGAAAGATGTATTAAAAGTTATGTGTTCTCTTAACAGATCTGTTGTCTCTCCTCTAAACTTCACCTACATTTTCCCTTTGACATCAAGGGGGGGCTTTTGTGGAAGACAGATTAAGGACAATTCTTACCTCCTGAAAAACTTAAACAGCTTCTGAAAATGTGCTTTGGTCTCCAATGGGTTGAAGAGTTGCCTGCTTTGTTGACACATGGCTCCCCATTTTTATCTCATGCCTCAGGTTCACTCCCACTAGCACAGAAGAGCAAGATTCCTCCCACCTGATAGGCAGCACTAACATACCCTTCAGACAGACACTTAACCTCATCTCTACACCACCACTGTGCATTGCCTCAGCTTCTCCCTGCATTACCTTCCCTCTCCCAAAGTACACAGAAGCAATTAGGAATCATACCTCGTTCTTCTTGATCTTTGAAATGCCACCAGTAGCCCTTGGATGGGTGATAGCGACAGTAGGACATAGCTTCTTCAAATGCAGACTGAATTCCATGTGCTGCAGTAAGCTTTCAGAACAAGAACATAAGGCAGTGTTCAGAATTTAAGAAGAAAACACATTATAAACTTTTGAAAGCAAATATTTTAAAATTAGTATTCTATATTAATTTTTATTCTGGGAAGGAAACTTGGGACATATTGTTTTGGACTAAGAGTGTAATCTCTCTAACAGGCTCTTACAAGACCTTTTCTGAAATGCTTTTCTAAACTGACAGAGAAAAACTTGCAAAAGCAGTAGTTTACTAGAACAGAAAAAAAAGATCAAAACAAACCTGAGTATCCAATTTAAAAATAAATACCACATCAACTTATAAACATAAACCTGATTTAAAGAGAAATATTACACTACCTTAACATTAACATTCTAAAGCAAGCTTCACTGAATATGTATTTAATTACTATTTCAAATGTATTTGTCATGTAATTTTTCTTTAGATTATTCAAACTTCATGCTGTTCTGCCAATTGCATAGCTTCAGTTATTCTGATCTTTCATCCTTAAACAAGGAATCCTACTTTTTGGACCACCTCGCCCTCTCCCAGGATCTTTCATTTCCACATGGGACGCACACCATATTAACCAGTGGGGTTTGTTTTAAGTTACTGTATACCACACAAGGTCTTTCCTCAAAACATTTAAACAGCCTGGGGAACGACCAAAAGTAAAAGCAGATACAAACATATATGTATACATCAAATGCACAGAACACTTACAACTCTGGAGTTAATGACAGACCCTAAGTCAGGTGCCTGATAAATCACTCCAGCAATAATGTAGTAGTCGGCCAATGGAATAACTGTGGGAAGAAAAAAGACAGGATCAATTTAACACTCTGTCTGAAATCCGTGTATTTGTTGCTGAATTTCAGCAGTAACGGCAGCAACTGCAGTATTAATCTCAATCAGATTTTCTCTTTCTTTTCCTTCAAAGTGCTTTATTTGTGACTTAGCCACAAACTGATAAGGCAGAAAAAACCCAAGGTCTGTTTTACACAGAGAAAAGCACCAGCTTTAAGTCCTGTCTAACTGCAAACAAATAATTGAGCCTAACAGGAGTTGATGTTTCCAGAGCTACACAAGAGGAGTCAAGCAAACTGTACTGGAAGTAGTTCCACTTGCCTTTTGCTGCTGGTAGAAACCCACATCGTAAGGTCTCATTCTAATGGCCTCAGCTTTCTCCAACATGTACAGTCCTCTTAGCTACATTTCTCAGAGACAATGGCAGCTATGCACACAGAGTATGCCTTTCTAAATTAGTAACGTTCTGCCAAAAAAAGACTACTTTTCAAAGGCATTTGCTAAATCAGATTTGGAACCTCTACTGACCCATCAAAAATTCTTGTTCATTAGAGTTGCAGTGCAGAGGAACGTCACAATTGCCTCCATAATACTCTGCCGAACACTCTTCAGTTGAGAAACTATAGCAATACTATCAGCTTCACATTCCTAAGGAACTTACCTGTGCGCACATTTGTTCCAGTTCCTTCATCTGTATTAACACATTCTGCCAGAATGCAGAATTTCCAAGTTTTAAATTAAATACTTTAGCTTTTTTGCAGAGCCCAGGTTACTAAAATAAAAGGTTAAGAAATAACTAGCATTAACCTTCCCTTCCTTTCATGTAAAGCTTACTCTGAAATAACCTAACTTATTTTACACATACGTGCAGTAAATACAGAAGACAGTCCAATAACTACTGTTCTGTGGCTACTTTTTAAAATAATCACATACACATAAACAAATTTAAGGTTAAAAAGAAATAATTAAGCCAGCTGCATGCAATGGAAAAAAAGCTAAAGTATTTAATTTAAAACTTGGAAATGTCATCAATGACAGTTTAAGGAAGAGTGGTGCTGTTCGTCACAAGATTCCCACACTATTCCAAAATACTGAGTTATCAGAATAATAACCATAACAACAAGTATTTGTAGTACCTCATGGTCATTTTTCACATGTGTCATCATCTTCTACTGACAAGATCCTACTCAGCAGTATAACCAATCCACAGTCAAGGTGGAAATAGTGCAGAATAAGAGAGTGACACAACACCAAGAGAAGCATGAATGAGCTTTCTCCCTAACTCATGGAAATCATGGTTCCTCAAAATAAATAAATCAATCACATACTAGCCACTTCAGATGATTAGCTCAAACTCAGCTTATCAACTCCAAGCAAGGATATTGTTAGCCTTTTATTCAAATAAGTAAAATGAAAACTCTGGCATGGCCTAACAGATAAATACGACATAGCATGAATGCTATTATCAACCTCCCATGGCAAAATATACCACAGAGCATCACTTTCTCCACATTTCCATCATATTTGAGAAGTCTGGGCAGTCTGGTAAAGTTCCTGCAGACTGGAA